ACGTATAAAACAGTTGGTGAAAAATGCCCTTTTTCATATTAGATTCAATGTGAAATGAAGCACCACATTTTCAATCCTTAGTGTAAACTAAGCTTTTAATTCCCCTGTAATTTTGTATAAGAAGCATAAAATATTTTGCTTAATATATTTGCCTGGGATTCATGCATCAGTATCATGATTCTGCAGTGAAAATGTCATAATAAGCTCTCAAAGTTTTCAATCGATGTTGTACTGCTTTGTACATGACTGTCATTGACAAGGTCCTCATTTATTAAGACTATCGTACATTTCTAATGACAGAAAACTGACGAGTCAGTACCAGCTTGTAGTGCAGCCTCAGAGTTCGGATGTCATCCATAAATCATTTGAGCTTTACTTTTGGGACACCTTAAGACCCTCCACTTTCGACCAATCTGCTACCTTCCTGCCCTCCACCCTCCCTGATCCCAACTTCCCCCCATCCCCGCTCGGGTCCAAATCCCTGACTGTCCAGCGCCTTGGGACGTCCTCCCAACCTGAAAGGCGCTGTATAAATTTAATTTTGTACTGTATATTGTGTTGATTAAACCTGAACAGTTTCAGTCAAATTACAGCTTTTATCCACACGAATATATTCTATGGTGAATTGGAATTACAATTCCTACCATTAATACCTCACTGTGGGGAAATATAAAATAGCAACTTCATTACAATCCTTTATTACTCGATGGTATGTCAATTTCAAAGCCTTTTATGAAACTTTGTAATGTCCGTTGAATAAATAAAGACGCTGTATGACAAGTGACTAAAGAGAATGACATTACTGCTCGGCTCAAATGTTGTTGATGTGGTTGATTATTTTGCATAGTGATGGGTTTCCGCATGTGTCAGCCACCCAACTGACTTAAACAAATAATTTTTACAATTTCTCATTATTACAGTTCAAGAAAAAGAATTCTATGTTTAAGCCTTTGTTAGACCTCCATAGGCCCTAGGTAGCCCTAAAAGTTATGGGAAATTAGATACTGTACTTTGTTGACACCATGAACTGAGCATTGCAATCACACCTTGTAACAAGTTTCAGTGACAGTGGAATGAAAATCTGTTGCAATCACTGGATACATTTGGTTTATATAACCCAATCATAATAATAATAATCGTTGCATTTGATATAGCATCTTATCATATCTTCTAGATGTCTCAAAGACTTCACAGAATATACTATAAAATGAATTGACTGTATATTTGTGGGCGAAATGCAGCAGCCAATTGCGCACAGCAGTGTCCCACAAACAGTTGTGGATTGAGTGACCAAATTATGATTGTTTTTCTGAGGGTTTATTATCCCCAGAAAAGTGACCTGCCAATCGACTAACAATGGGGTTCCTACTTTCTGCTCGGTGAACACAGGTGTGTGGAGTAAGGAAACTTGCCCAACATTTCGCTCTGCCAGGAATAGAACCCAGGCCTCTCACTTGAGAGGCGAGTGCTCTAACCACTGAGCTACAGGACTCCACAAAGAAGTTCAAAGTGAAAATCTCAGGTGTTTCATTTTGCACTTTAAATCTAATAGTAACTGAGGTTCTTTATGCTGGGTTAAGATTTTGCTCTCCATTGCAACAATGAATTAATTTTACATCCTTCACAAAACAAGTCATGTTGCATCATTTTGTGCATAACTTTGTTTCTCGTGTAAATAAAACATAACAACAACAAATTACATTTGCATAGCGTCTTTCACGTCAGGAAGACATCCCAAGGCACTGGACAGTCAAGGATTTGACATTAACATTAACATTCCAATCTAGTGCCAATTGTTCAAAACCCATCTAAGAATGTGTTTTAGGATCTGCACATTGTTTTATTATTGAAAAATAATATTTTGGGGCGGAAAACCAAACCTTGCTGTGCTTTGGATGCAATAAAGAGCTAGGTTATCTATCAAGATCCCACAAGCTGCTATGAGATGAATGATTTACAGATAGCTAATCCAAGTAGGGATTGAACCTTTATCAGAATGTTTAGGTTCGATTCCTGTCAGAAGCTGAAGCATCCAGTTGGTAAAGTACAAAAATCAGCATCTCTATCAACTTCTGGTTACCAAGGGGAGGAGGAATTTGTTCTTTTACCAGCAACTATTGGCCTTAACAATTGATTTACGCTTGTCTACCCAGTATAGAGTGATCAGTCAGTCACCTATTAGAATTTCTTAATACAGAGATTGGCTAGCAAGCAATAAGGGACTGTGCAGAGGTGCTCTGAAGTCTGATTACACAGCAAAGTTGCACTTAGAAACCAGTATACACATCAAAACATCTCATTACCACACAGGGATCAAGTTATAAATTGATAAAGAAAGTACCTTTAAGAAGGCTGATAGAGTGGACAGTGATTATTGACAGCAAGGTTCTCAATCAGTAAGTTAGTGCAGTCTGGCTAGTAACTGTTCAAACATTCTGCATGCTTCCACTGAAACCTTTGAGCAAGACATAAAGACACTTCTGTCCAATTGTTTGTTTGTTTGACTTCACTGTAAAGGAAAGTTGTACAGAAGGAAACAAACAATTCTCATTCAGAAATTAGAAACATTAAATAATTTGTATCCAACTCAAACAATTACAGGTGGAACATTTATTTGTTCTGTGATGAAGTCAGGCTGACCAAAGTCAAACAAGTTAGAATCCTATCATTATGTACACCCTGATTAGAAATGGGAAATCCAAGCATTTACATACTGTAAATTATTATATTATAATAGTAATCATTACATTTGATATATTGCCTTATCACATCGAGATTCTCAAAAGCACTTCACAGAATACACTGTAAAGTGATTTGACTGTATATTTTGTGGGTGAAATGTATATAAAGATAGGTTTATTCAAAGAAAAACAGCAGTAAGGCAGCATTAGCTGGACTTTTACAGCTTACAGCTCATAGGAGCAAAATCAACACCGGCAAAACACCATGAGACTCAAAGGATTCAGTACAAAAATATGAACACAAAAGAAAAGTAAACTAATCCATCAGCACAAGCCTAAAACACATGACCATAGCAAGCATATTCCATATGAGCAGCAGACGTTGGTTGAGGCCCCTAATGTCAGTAGTTTTCTCCATCCACATACTTTGCCCATGTGTTTTTACTCAATGCATTTTATTTTCACTGTACAGTATAACAAATGCTGGCTGCCTTGAGAGCTTAGTTAGGCTGTGCATGCTGGCGACTGATTTTCTTCATTCTTTTAAAACAATAATATGCTAAACAAGTTAAGCTAAATCTGTACTCCACAGATAGGTTACATATAATCAAACAAAACTACTGCCAAACGTCCAAGATTTCGGTGGAATGGCCCTTTTGTTGTGTAAAAAAAATCCAGCTTTGCTTTTTTGTGTGTGTGTGTGTGTGTGTGACTAACACGCAGGGTTTTATAATAGCAGCAGAAACCTCCCTGGAGCAGCACTGGGAATGGGTGGAATTAAAGCCAGCTTTAAGTGGCTGGTTGAATGCAGCACACACAGCAAAAAAAAATGAGAGATTTCCTGTCCCTTTTCTGTAGACATCCGCAAACAGAAGGAATACTGCTGGGTTCCTGCAGTTTCCTAAGTGAGCCCAAGCAAATGAACCCCACAAAGCATTTAAAGCCCCCTTTTGAGTTCTCTTTGTACTTGCTGCAGCAATCCAACTGCAGTCACTTCAAATCAACTACAAAGATAACAGCACACAGTATCTTCATCACCTCGACAGCCTTAGGAAAAATTGTTCAAGGGAGGAAGACTATTGAAAAATGCAGTACTATGCGATTGGATGCAGAATACGTCTTATAGGATTGACTTGTTACAGGGGCCCAATGGAATCATCCAAGACTATTTGAATATTGCACTCAAAGTTCAGTTAAAAGAAAGGTTAAAGAGATGTGTTTTGGAATTTCCTTCCTCATCTTCCTAACCTCAATCCTCACCAAATTGAGTTGGTCGAGAGAGAGAGAGAGAGAGAGAAAGAGAGAGAGTGAGAGAATAAAAACCCAAGGAAAGATTGCAAGACACATTAGTTTTGAACTAAAAATGAATACATCAGGTCTTTCTTTGCTTTTGAATAGCAGCAAAGAGTTTGTGGAGGACATCCCAGTTTAGGAAAGGGTTCCGGACAGCAGATTGCTGTTTTTAATCGACTCCCAGTAATCTCAGAGAGAGGAAATGACTTGCATTCTATAAACATTAAGCCACATACAGTCAGTCCCTTGGAACAGAAGTGACTAATCGCATAAATTGTGCCCTGTGGCAATGAAAGCAAATCAATGTGATAGAATCTGAAATTTAAAATGTTGATAGTACATGATAGATGTTGTTGAGTCGAAACAGCAAAGAGAATTTACTGAAATAGACAGATAATTCATCTAAGATAATATTTCAAACTCACTTCCCCCAAAAAATCCTATAGGAGAATGGGATTGAACTATTCTCTCTCTTTCTCTCTCTCTCTCCAGTCTGTAGGATCTTATCAGAAGGTATGAATCAAGTAAAAATATAACTGACAATTTCTCCTATGGTAGTGTTCTCCTAAAGACCTTTAAAATCCTGAGAGCCCTGTAACAGCCTGACAAAATATTTCATGGAGGGGGACGTTAAATCATTGAACGCAAAGTTTCGCGAGCAGTACGATATGAATAAGAGCATTTTTTTTGTTCTAAACCTCCTCTATTAAACAGCTTAGAATTCATTGCCTGCAAGAACTTCACAGCAGCAGCAGCAGCACTGGGTAATAATCCATGCAACACAACACCATGGGATCATGAGAGGCAACTCCACAAAGATTCATTTCGTTTCCCACACTCAACAAGGCAGCTGGACACACACACACACACATATATATATATATTATATATATACACACACAACACAGGGCAAACAAATAAAAAAAAACACAGGGAAGCAGAATAAAGAGTCAAAGCAAAGGCAACGATCTCTTCCTTTCTAACAATAAAAGAAATTCGAATCCAGGAAATAACTTGTTACTGTACCTCACATTCAGCCACAAATCCCTGTGTGTGTGTGTGTGTGGGTGAGTGGGTGTGTGTGTGTGTGTGTGTGTTGGTCTGAGCTCCCCGATGAATGTTGACTGGAGTAAAGAGGAACAGTTACTGTTGCAGATGAAACTTCACTGCCAAACCTCCTGATAGTCCAACAGGAACAGGACACATGTGGCACAACAGGGTGAGCTATGCAAATCTGCTGTGAGACAACAAAGGCAGCAACTCCTCTGGTCCAGGTTGGGGTGCAGTTTCGATGCTTTTTCTGATGCCTGCGTTTTTATTTAACGCATGGCTTTCTTATCCTCCACCCCCCACCCCCCACCCCCCCACCCTCTCTTCTAGAGCCACATAGAAGTCGATGCAGGGAAAATGCATTGGTGCATTCTCAGAACCGTTTGCAAAAGGGTTTCCCCTCCTGAGTCCCACACATAGTCTGCTCCATTCCCTTGACATGCCATCTCCTGTCTGGCTGAGTGTGCAGGAGCTTTCATGCACACACATGAGAAAGCACTTCATTCCAGCCCCAGCCATCTCTGCACCCTTTCTGTCAGCGTTTAAAGACTGAGTGAATCCCCCTCCTGCCTTGCATCTAAACCCCCAAACCACTACCTGTTCACACAGCCTTTTTTTTTTGAATTTTAAAAAAAAAGAAACAAATTTATTGTTCAGGTAGCTTTGCTGCCCTCACCCACTCCTCCCCATATTGCTGCTTGGACAAAACAGCACAGAAACAACGTGTCGTTAAACGTGTTTTATCTTGGCTGAAGGAATCCTGTTAAAAGCAGAATTAGCCTCACAATATTTCACATCACAAATCACTACCTTCACGAGCAGTAGATCTGCTTCATTTCCTGATATGTTACATGCAACAACAACAACAACAACAACAAAAAAGGCTTGGATAAGTTACAACACCCCAGGCTGAAACATGAACATTCCTCAGAGGGTTGATCATACAGTCTGAAAGACGTACTGGTGTTTTTGCTACCACTAGGATCACACGTTTAGATAGATGGGGGAAGGGAGACAAATGTCACCGTTGCTTTGATGGCAAACGTCAAGGTTGCTTTTGGCATTGACTGTGAAAGCACACTTTCCACCTTTACAGTAGCAATAATATTAACAAATGATTCTCCCACCACCACCACCCTCATCCCTCCCTCCCACAGTAACACCTATTGCCAGTGCTTCAGGTGTATCTCCACTGCTGTACAGAAGAGTGCAGGCTTTCAAATGCATCTCACAATCTGCTTTTACCCTTCCACTTGGACTGCTGCACAGAGTCACTCTCCTCTCTACAGGCAGCTGCTGTGTTCACAAACACCCAATGAATGTAACCTTGAAGCAGTTTCCCAGTAAAGTGATAGGAAAGCAAAACCTGTAATTAGCATTCCGTTGGAAGAATGATATTTAGCAGCAGGTCACAGGCAATTGGATTAAAGGATATCTATTTGGGACTGTATTTTCTTTCCTCATACTCATGGTTCTGTCTCCCTGCTCAAATACACTGGTCTCTCAAATAAGATGATAAGGCTACTGCAGGTATCTCAGTAGTTCTCACTCATGTCCAGTGTCCTGGCCCAATAATCCCAATAATTGTACTGAGAGGACATCGACAATGCAGTAAAAGCATAGTTTTCGATAACCCTTCAGTTACAAGAAAATGGTTCATCCTAAGTATAAGAATAATAATCCTCGCATTTGACATAACACCTTATCGCGTCATTGAGACATCTCAAAGCATTTCACAGAATAAAATGTAAAATGGATTGACCGTGAATTTTGTGGGCAAAACGCGGCTATCTAGCCTAAATCCTGAAGCAAACCTCTGGCGGTTTTGTTGAATGTTACTTGTTGCCTTTCAATATTGCCAGGAGTGAGGAAGGTAACAAGCAGAATTAAAAAGAACGCTCTGCACCAGCAATACAAACCCGGGGTATTAAATGTTCAGAGCTCAAGTTCCAGTTTTTTATTTTTGTTTATGGTCTTAGTGCACCTATAAGCCAAACAAACAGTAAAGGAATCCATCTGTATTGTTGCATCGTTGCAGTCAATTGGCTCGATACACTGTTCAGGGTCAGGTGCGTTGGCAGACAGTTCCCTTAGCAATTTATACAATCTCCAACCGATTTAAAACCAGACTGTGTGAGAGACAGAGAAAGCACATCCCAAGTGAGATACTTGAACTCAGTCTTCTTTTTGCTTTGCAAAAGTTGTGTTTAGTAACAGTGAGTCAACTTGAGAAAACGTGGGAAAGGGTTGCCAGTGTGTGCCCGAATCTCTTATCCTGAGAAAGGCAGAGATTGTTAGCGGTAAAGTAAACGGGCAAGAAAGCAGGTGGATAGATGGAAAGTACAGGCCTGCAGTAAACATCATTAGTTGAGGCATGGTGGCAACTGGCCAGTTAGAAGGAAACAGATTCTTGCCGTTTTGGATCCCAGATTGGAATTGATCAGTGCTGCTTTGCGGGATAAGATATGCTATGAAGTAGCACATGAAGTCCATCCTATCTTCAAAAACAGTTAATCCGGAATCCAGGAAGGCAGCTCTGCATCTTGAGTATTTCAAGACGTATTTTAACAACACTCCTTCAATTAGGAATACTTTTAGCAATACAACAATTTTGATCCAAGAGTAATAAGAAAGAAGAAAAGTAAAAGAAAGCACCATTTTATTTTTATTCCCTTATATTTTAGTGAGCTGGTTCACAGAGAGGGAAAAGGATAGAGAAGGTATAGGCAATATAACTGGGATCAGATGATTTATTTCTCCTCAATGTGTTGTTACTGAGCAGAAGTTTGTTACAGATTCATCCAAGGACCCTGGTTTCTGAAATTACAATGCACTGGGAGGCTAACTAGCCAAATAGCAGTCTTACAGCATTCCCCCTTCATTTTGCTGTCACTGAAATCAGTATTGCACATTGAAAATCTGTTGTTAACTGGAATTGCCACTTAGACAATTCCAAAGCCAGCTGGAAACATTTTGAATGCTTGCTCAAAGCAACATGTTGTTTATTTTCTTCTGAGGGATGGTTCCCAAGAGCAGCACCATGGGATAGTCTTGCTCACAAAGTTCACAGAAGCAATCTAACATATGTGACCTAGTACTCAGTCGTTAAAAAGAACAGTGCTGATCCTAGTCTCCAATTTAATAATAATAATCCTTGCATTTGATATAGCATCTTATCACGTTGTTGAGATGTCTCAAAGAGCTTCACAGAATATATTGCGGAGTGGATTAACTGTGAAAACCTTCCTTTTCGACCATGCTTACGGCTCAGAGTCAGGCTCCGCCACTGTTAAGTGCTCTGAGACGCTACGCTGCGTGGAGGGCGCTATGTTGTTGTTGTATCATGTGGTCGAAAAAAGGCAACCAATTGCACACAGCAGTGTTCCACAAACAGTCATGGATTGAATGACCAAATTTATTTTTGTGGGGAGGAGGGGGAGAGAGGATTATTTGCAGCACACTACAAACATGATTGGCAGATCTGAAAGTGAGCAACGCTAGAATAAAACAGCAGATGTAATATTTTAATGAAGAAAGCTCACAATTTTAATATCTGATTCCAAATTGGGGTTTGTGTAGGTGTGTTGATTAAAAGTTATGTCAAAAAGAATTACATCAGACGTCAGGAATACTTTCACAGCACATTGTTCTAGAGGCCACAACCCACTAAAAGGAGCTGCCAAGCCTACATCAACCTAACTGGCAGTTTTAAAGTATAAAACATGGGCAAATGGGAACATTGAGGACTTTACATGAAATAAGTGACTCCTTGTGCAGGGTCTCCCTAGAGTTGAACTTCTCTAAGGTGACATACTTGGCAATGGAATGTCAGAATCGGGTTAATCCTCTGTAGCAGTCTTGGTACCTGATTCCTGAGCCAGTGGGTCCACAGTACTCCAGGGCACTGGTGATCACAGACCAGCCAGCCAGGTTCATGAACAGGAATTGGAGGGGCATTCACTCTTCCCACTCAGATCCTGTTAACCCTTGCCACATAGTGCTTTCAGTATCAGTCTATCCAGTTTAACTTGGTTAAACACCAACAGTAACTCATCGCACACTAACTCTGTCAAGACGCAAGTTCTATTAGGCACATTGAGATTAAAGCAGCATTCATTTATATTTAGCCTGAAGCTTTTTTCATATGCCTTCAGAGGAAGGTCCATGGAACCAGCCATGTTTCCAAGTCGCAGTGCATATTTCAGCTGGTTATCAGAATTGATCATTGTATCTGTTTCTGATCAATTTTTTAGAAGCAACAGCATATTAAACAAGAGATTTTCCCTTCCTTTTGATCTTTCTGGTTACCACATTGGAGGTCTTAAAATATGATGGGTTACAGCCAGATACAACATTTTATAGCTATTCAGGGAGATTGACAAAACGTCCTGCTCCTTGACTCAGTGCTACTGCACATTTCAAATATGATATTTAAAAACATGTTGCTCATTTTATTTTCACTCAAAATGTCAGAGAGCTAGTTGAGAATGAAATGAGATTCAACCAGGATTTAATTAGCTGTCACTGGAATTTCATCCAACTAATCAGTTACACATAAGATAAATTCGACAAAGCCTGGAATGGAATTAGAAATGTATAGTATTTGATAATAAATCCAGAGATCAGCATCAGGGATTTCTACATTTGAATTTGGAATACAAATTTGGGGAGCTGGAGTGCAATTCCTTGATCTCTGAACCAATTTACACCATTTAGGCACAGAACGGGCCATCTCTTTGAAAATGCAAACAACACTACAAATGCGAGACAGTGTCTGTCTAGTGAGTCTGAGATGATCTGATTCTGACAATCTCACCGCAGGTTTGCCCGTCACTATGTTTATGGCAGATCACAATGGCTGGAAGAGAGAAAGTGAAATGAAGATCAGAAAGATATCTATATTTCTTTTCATCCGTTTACTCTTTTCAAGCCACTTTCTGCAGTAGTCTGGCAGCCATCAGTCTACCCAAGTTTCCTGGCAGTTTAGCAAGGCAGCTGGACTCAAGTTCCCCGAGGACTA